TTGTATACCCAGAAGCCCTATGTATAAGGAGGTTAATGGATGAAAAGCCTTTACCTCTTTGACATTATGAAGCTGTCAGATACATAAAAACAGCAGATGGCTGCTGTTTCAGCCACAGTAGTTTAATATAGCCTTTAGCCAATCAGAGACAGAACCGATAGTGTGTGTTGTTGTGCCTGTTTGATTCATTTGTTAATGGTATCTTGCCATTCAAAAACTAGTGCATGTGCACTTGTGGTTCTGGTGTCCTGAGTGGCACGACACAGGTCTTGTCTCTTATGCAAGAGAGAGATCATATTTTTGTAATACCTTTCATAAAATCCATACTAAAGTCATGTTTAAAGTTATTCACGGTTGTTTCAGGTAGGAGTTCTGCTGTACAGCTGCTGCTCTGAACCCAACAGAAGTCAACAGCTGCTCAGTGCCTCAACCTCAACATGCCTTTCAACATCATGCCTCAAACACACACACACACACACACACACACACACACACACACACACACACACACAGCTGTTATCTACTCATCACCGGCTGATTTTGTTTGGCTGTATGTCATGCAAAGTACTGGACCAAATGTTTTTGCCGCTGTCTTGGCAACGGTTGTCATGGTGCCATGGTCCACAGATAGCTGTTAATCTGGGTAATTGTTCGCCTCTTTTAGGGGGTTAGATGGGGGATCCTTCTATATATACAGTGTGGACTGACATTCTTTTTAGCCTAGAGCTATTGAACAGGAGTTTGAGGGTATTACATGGCACCAGACACACAGGCAGCAGTATTAATGTGGTGTTTATGATTACTGTATTTGCACTACTATTGTTTTTGCCAGTACTACATAAATGCAATCAGGTTCCAAAATTGAACTTTTTTAGTGATTTGATAATTTACTGGTCATAAATATGTCTTATCGGCAATGGGAACTGCATTTTGTTATTTCTCCTAAAATAATAGTAATTACAAAATTGTAAAAAAAAAAAAAAAGAAATGTATTTATTCTCATGACACTGGAATTTAGCCACATTTTAGTGGAAAATAGTACAGGTCATTATGTTATTTGTGACACTGCATCTGTCACAAAAATATATTGTGATTTTGCTTCACTTTTAACTAAAAAGTGTAGCCTCAGTGGAAGTTTAAACATCCTAGAAAAACTTTCACTAAGATATAGTTACTTTTAAACCATGTGTTAAGACACCAGCCAACTGGCAAACATTTTATTTACTCACCAAAGCCTGATTTTACTGGGATTCGGCATGTGGTAAGTGTTAATTTTGGACTCTAGTTTTGGACTTGCACCCAGTGACTCAACTCAATTTGCTTAAATTGTTACATTTACAATAATTGAAATTGTTTATTTACGAAAATCTGTCTAAATATGGACTTTGCTGTGTGCATTGATTGGGTTTTGGCAATTTTAGCCTTAGTATCAGGTGATATGTTCCAGGAATGGCCACAATATACAGTATGAATTTTCTTATTTCTCTTTGGTAAAAAATGGAGTGATTTCAATGATTTTGATAATGATTTACTGCATTAAAAGTTGCCTGTTGCTTTATAAGAGAAGTCATGGCAATTGCAGATATCTATTTACACTGCTACCATTCATTTCAATCAGTCTCTGCCAGCAGTTATTTTCTGTATTGTAATTATTTTAAAATTCACTGTATAATACAAGCTCGGTTAATGGATCTAATAACTATTAAAAAATATGGTATCATAAAAATAATTGCTGCTCTATAAAATATACTGATTTGGTAATTATATTAATTTTAATTGTACTTTAATTGTATTTTATTTAAATATATTTTGCATGAAGTGTTTTACCAGTTAGCTGTTTAATTTCAGCTTTTCAATAAGCAAAATTGCATTATTTATTACAAAGTAAGTCTTTGACTTCCTTGCTGTTAGAGATCACATCTGTAAACTTACATTACAAATTACCTTTATGTTTCTGGTGGATCTTGACCCTTTTAATACAGAGGACATGGAGATGTATGGAAATAATTTGGAAAAGCTGCTAATTGTGCCATAATATCTGTGATTCAACCACAAAATATGATGCAATCCATACGGTATTCCCCGAATCCGTATTACTCACCAGGCAGCACATGTTACTGGAATTTGTTGTGGCCCAGCAAATTGTTACGAAAAAAGACCTTTCCAGTTATGTGATTTAATTCTCAGTAGTTATTTGTGTGTTTACATTGAGTTCTCTCTGTTGGCTTTGGCTGTTTGGAGTGTTTGCGGTGCATGTGCAACGATCAGTGCACATTTCCAGCATTGTGTAACACCTCAGTCATCTCTGGCCCTCTATATTCTGACTTGTGCTGGAGTTTTAGTGTGTTTATTGAACCCAGATTCACATAAGGACAAACCTTTCTGGATCAAAAACGGAAATGGTTTGTTTTGACACTGCAAATGACTGTAAGACAAACAGTAGCTGCTAAACTCAAATGGAGGTGTCACCAAAGTCAGCCAAGACATCAAGTAAAGCGCACATCTAACACTATGCCGTTCAGGATGTTTATTAGGTGTCTGTTCTCTCTCTCTCTCTCTCTCT